GTCGTTTCTCGAGGGACTGAAAATAACGATGACGACTCGAGAAATGAAATAAGTTATTAATTGGATTGAGGAGAGGAAAAACGCGACCTCCATTAATTGATTGACTGCATCGGCTATCATTGATAACTGTTGTCTCTTATATTTATTGGACTAAATACAATTCAGAGCGCGTTAATTAATTGTTCAATAATTTTATCGACAACTAAGCCATCTCAATCCGATAAAAACGTCTAGTTAATAAGAATTATTATTAATTATATTTAGAACACATTGATTTCTTTTTAAATGTTATTGCAATTTGATGTACTTATAATAATTAATTCATCGGAAAAAAAATCTATGATGAAAGAAATAATAATACAATTCAAATATTTTCATTCGCGAAGATTCGTGTTTTCATCGCCATTTGTTTAAAACAATCGTCTAATTTTTATTACTCTCTTATATCGAGTGTGCGAAACGCATTCTTTTGTTTACATTTTAGATTTGAAACGGAACGCCCCAATTTTCGTCCCCGTTTGTCGATTGGTTTAGATTTGAATAAAAGAAGATTGTATGTGTTAACGAAAAAAATATTAGTTTTTGCGTTAGAACCAAAAGCCGATCCTCGTTTAGCGTTTGACTATATGATTCGCAGCTGCAACTCAAATTTTTATTACTCTCTTATCTAGTGTGCCAACTCCCATTTTTCATGGCCCAATGAGAATTGTCTAAACGTTCAAAGCAGCTGTGATTCGTCGTGTCTGAACGAAATATTTGAATGTCGACACTTTTACTTAAATAAATAAGAAATTTGTAAAATTACTTAAGTTTTGAAACTTGATGAAACTAATATAATTACATCATCTCGTTATTTCCAACATGTAAACACACACACAACGGGGTTGAGAACATGGCTGTAACTCAATACCTGCGGTTTTGCAGGGGGAATTGTAATTACCTTTCAAAAAGGGTAGGATTTGCGTCTATTGAACTCTGAATTATATAAATAGATTTGCAACTGGTTTAAGATTTACTTTTTCAACGTGTACACGAAAAATATCTTTATTACATAAGACATCATCCCTTCAAGTGGTGCGGTAATTGCTTCCGTTTCTTTTGTTTTCACGCCAACTGAGATTAAAATTTCCATTACATTTGATTTAGGTAAAGTTTTATACAATTTTATTGCATGAATCAAGACATATGATACAACGAGATGTTTTCGAAATATCTTAAAAGATTACCCATAATTACGTACTAAATTTGTAAAGAGAAAACTGATTTCGAAGATGATATCAAAGAAATTAAATAAAATCTTTCGTGCTTTATCAATTTTTCAACAGTAAATAAAATTAATTAAAAAAGAAGCGTCGACGACGAAGAAGAAATAAGCATAAAAAAATCTATATATAATTTGTGTTCGTTTTTTTTTGTCTTCTTCTGGAAAACAGGATTTATGTGTCTTTACGTCCTCAAGATTATGTAATTTTTTTTTCCATCAGCCAGCAACCAGTTTATATATGTAAAGGCAGATGATGTAGAAAAAAAAGCGGTTCAAGACTGGAAGATGAAGACAAGGTGAACTAGGTGATAGTTAGTTACTAGTTCTCATCTCTTCGGCTTTTCATTAAATTTCTCCTATTATATATAATTAAGAATTCGAAAACCTCGATCCCTTATCGATCAGAAACGCATTAGACGCTGCTTTTTCTTTAGTTCTTTACTTTTCTTTTTTTTACTTAACACATAAATGTTATTTATTGCACTTTTCAGTCGCTTTCATGGGCATTCCAGCGCTCGTTATTTATAAATTTATTAATTTGTTTCAATTTACTACACGCCTTTGATGTCGTCTACACTTCAATTGAAAACATTTATTTTTTTCCCCAGCGTTCAGTTTCTAGAAGTACTCAACACTTCTCTTTTTTTCACAAAAAAAAAAAGACTCAACAAACTAATTGTAGCATTTCTCTTTGGTAATGTGAGAATATTGTGAAAATTAACAGTATATGTATTAAGATCTCAAACAATTATTTGTAATTCTTTGTTTTATATCTTTAATTATTTGCAAAAAGTCTACTGAGAAACAAATAATAGGAGATAAGATACAGATACACCTCGTATAGTGCGACTTCAATCAAACTTCGTTTAGTCCGGTTTCAAACAGTGCACAGTATACGAATTATTCTAACGTATGAATATGATTACCAAATACGTTATGTAATTGATTAATTTTTTAACAAAATTACATACTTTACCCAACTAAATTGGCGGAGAAATTAAAGGTTTCTTTGTTGCCAAATATCTTCACCTAAATTCTAACTGATTTCTTGCTTTTTGATAAGATACAAATGGAATGAAAGGAATGCTGCAGTGTTTTTGTATGAATCATTTTGCCCGTCTTTATTTTCAACTATAGAAGTAGAGAACTTTCTCTATTACAAAAAAAGTATATAGAGAATGACTTGAATGAAATCAAGCTTCCATTGGTTCATTGTTTCTCTATTGCCTCCAGATTTTCAATTCCACTGACACTGATTACAAAAATTTCGAAGATTATAAAGTTTAAGATTTATTTCAGAATATAAAAGTAAACTGCATCTGCTTAAGTACGAACTTTTACTTACTTACTACGCTATATAAATGTATGTCTTATTCATACTAACAAGACTAGTTTCAATTAGAAATTACATTTTTTCATAAACTTATGTTTTCTTCATATATATTACCAAATAAAAGAGTTTGTTGTAGCACTTATATCTAAATCTATACCAATTTCATACTCATATTGAATAATATAATTTTTAATAAAAGAAATCAATATTTTTTGTATAATACAATTAAAATTGTGTGGATGAAATCAAATAAGCTAATATGTTTTTGTTCATATTCTATTTACTTAAATTGCTCTTGAAAAAACTAGTTCGAATTCCAAATAAACACTTTAAATGATGTTGACTGTACGATGGTTTGTTTATTGCAAAAATATCGTGAATTAAGGTATAAATAACGTAGAGATTTCACAAATAAACGCACCACCAACGATTGACTTATTTAAAGAATGCGCGTAAGTGTATAAATAAGATCTGTAGAGCACACTCAAGTTCATAATCGTTAAAAAAGAAGAGTGTGTGTGTGTATATATATAAAAAAAAAGTACAGTGCGGATTTATAAATAGTGCGACGAGTGCCAAACGTGCGGAAGTACTTGACTTTTTTTTTATTTCATTACATTTGTTTCTACACTATTTACACTTTACGTACTTGTTTGTTATTTATTTATAATAATAAAGGTAATCAACATTTAATTTTTCAATTATTACTTTAAATGATTGTAGGAAGTGTTAAACATTTTGTGCATTAGTTCGGAGGGAAAAAGGGTTCATGAACCTGACTTTTCCTGTTTGAGCTGCAATAATAATGATGATGTTAATACTAATAATAATAATAACACCGGGACGGATTGTTTCAATTAAGTGAAGTGCAATTTAAATGAAGTGGATGAACCAGGATAGTAGCCAGACGCGGTTCTAATTTAATTATACGAGGATGTTGAATTTATCTCTGCAAAACCAAATATTTTGACACGATCTATTTAGCTCGATGCGCACTACATAAAGCTGCTACCTCGATTTTTTTTTATTGTTCTTCGCCAAGAAAAAAGAGCACCCTTTCAAAAAAAAGAAGGTCATCAACCCTTAAAATTAGTTTGTTTATGCTCGGTTAGTTCGTAATGCAATTTGATCTGTTATAATCCGGTCGATGTGTACACAATTTCTGTTTGCATTTTTCTCTGATTCCGGACTCTCACCGGTAAAGCTGGTGGATGGAATACTTTGTTGTTTGATGCAGTGTGCCGGCTGTTTATCATCAATCCCCTCGACGTACCAGACTCTTTACATGTGCAGCACGAGGGGAATAAATGGGACAGAGATGGAAAGTTCTTCCACCCCCCTAATAGAATCCCCAGACCGTGCAGCACGTGTCTAATAACACCCGATTTGGATGCCGGAAGCCTCCACCTTCGCTTCATTTTCCGGTATCATAAATATTATATATACACACACAAAAAAAAACAAACTTAAAAGACTTTCTAAAATTAGATAATACGAAAAGCCTACATATGATTAGCATTTCTCAAAAACTATAATAGATGGAATGGATCCATAAGATTCGTATGAAAGTTGAATATTTTGTGAATGTAACGAGTATTTGGATTGCATTTGTTTGACTGTAATTCTCCTTCCAAGTTGAAGTAATAAAAAAAAGTAACGCTCGAAAAAAGTCTTCACATTTTAGTAATTTTCTAAGAAAACTATAATAGGTAGAAATAATCCAAAAGATACATATCAAAGCTAGATATATAGGGTATAATGCGTGTATTCGTACATTACTATGGTTTCTACCATTTGGATATAATTCGAGTTCAAAAAAACGTGTATTATTACTTATAGAAATTACATAGATAGAAAAAATATATAATTATGTTTATAAATATTATATAAGGCCATTACAATGAGTTGACATCTTAATAACGCAATTATAGTGAAATACAAGATACCTGTTTGTTGTTAATAGCGTATACGAAAATATTATTAAATTAGGTCCATTGTATACTTTCGTTTCGCATTTCCGAGGCAAACATCTAAGGTTTGATAATGTACCTCGATAAACAAAGAACTCGTTTCTCTTCTAATATATCCTTGATAAATGTTTGCTTCACCTGTATTATTGTAAACAGTGTTTTTGGTAGCTTGCGGGAGAGCGTTAATTCTGGTCGTTGAACTACTTGCCGAATGTTGTTCTCTCCTTCCATGCTCGCCGATTTGAAGCAAAATAAATTTGTCTTTATTTACTTTGCACGTGATCTTCAAACGGATGCATGCGGATCGTTTGTTTAGCTGTTGATCTTTTGTTGGTCCAGTTTCATCCTGGTTCAATAGACTTACGAATTTTGCTCATATTTCATTTGATTTGTCTCTGCTTAAAAATAAATTATTATTTCTTTGTTCTTTTAGGTGTTAAAATCTTTAGGATGGAGCTGCATCGGTGGTTTTTTGCGGCTATGCTGTGCGTGCTAACATCAGCCCAGAATCAACCCTTCAACCAGTTCAGCACGAACAGCCCACCGTTTCCAACGACGAACCGCAATTACGACCAGTACTCACCTGCAGACCCATCGTTCAATGGGCCTCCACCACAATCGTACCCAAGACCAGGTGATGGTTTCGGAAAGCAGGATCAGTACGGATCGAACGATCCGTACGGTCGTTTCGACAACAACAACAGGCCTAGACCACAGTACGATTACGCAAATCCCAATCAGCTGGACGGATTCGAGCACAGATCGATCATCAGAGAAGCGTAATAATAATAATTAAGAAATAAATAAAATTCGAAATGTAATCAACTTGTTTTCTTCTTTTGATTAAAGGACGTACTTTATTGTGGCTTCACGTATGGTGAGGCCCGGTCAATTGTATCGAGTCTCCGCAACGATTCTAAGGGAGAAGGCGCCTTTGATTGTACGCGCTTCTATACACAGAAACGGCGTCGAAATGTCTGCGGAACACAAATCCTTGAAGCAGGGCATCCCGGAAACGCTCTTAATGAGGGTCAGATCTCCAGATTCGCCCTATATTTCCTTTGATTAATAGATTTTCTGCTACAGGTCCCAACGACAAGCGCGCCCGGTGAATACAAGCTGCGCGTCGAAGGTCTGTACGACAACGTGCTCGGAGGATCCGCTTTCGTCAACGAAAGTAAACTCGTGTTCTCGCAAAGATCCATGACAATTTTCATCCAATTGGATAAACCTGTATATATGCAGGGACAAACTGGTAAGACAGAAAAAACATAATGCAAAATCGATGATTAATTATTGTTATATTGTTACTATAGTTCGCTTTAGAACGATTCCTATCAACACCGAGTTGAAATCTTTCGAAAATGCCATCGACGTTTACATGCTGGATCCCAGTGGGCACATCATGAAGCGTTGGCTGTCGCGACAATCGAATCTGGGAACGGTCAGCTTGGATTATCAGTTATCCGATCAACCGGTGTTCGGCGAGTGGAAGATTAAGGTCGTGGCGCAGGGACAGATCGAAGAGTCCACGTTTCTGGTGGAGGAATATTATCAGACGCGATTCGAGGTCAACGTTACCATGCCTGCGTTCTTCTTCACCAACGAGGAGTACATCTACGGAACGGTGATGGCCAATTACACGAGCGGTGCTCCGGTCAGAGGAAACTTAACATTGAAAGCCACCATCAGACCCATCAAACCTCTGCAGCAGACGCTCAAAGACTTGGACAAGAAACTGCACAGAAATCGGCCCGGCGATGAGTACGATTTCTACGAGTACGAGAACTACGGTGGAAGCAGCAGTTATAATCAACACACCGTAGAAAAATACTTCACTTTTGTAAGAAACGCTTTCTCGGCAGTTTGCAATAAATACTAATCATTTGATACGTTATCTTTTAGGAGGAGGAATATCCATTCTGGACAAACATCGCCGACTATTACTCGAAAACTCCTCACTTAAATTTCGTAAGTTTTTTTCAATATTTTTCAGTGCTTTGGCTGCTCCTGATGCAACAAGCAGTTTACTTTTTTCGATTACAAACAGAACAATAATTTATAAAAAAAAAATTGTTACTTTGTCAAGTTGTGTAATATGTATATATTTTTTAGTTTTATGGTGCTTACAACTTTAAATATCCTATTCGCGATTTGCTGCATCACGTGCCGACTTTAGAGAATATGGAGGTGATCATAACTGCGACCGTCGGCGACAGATTCCTCGACGAAGTCATCGAGGGTCATTCCATCGCGCGTATGTTCAACTCTTCGATCAAATTGGCGTTCCTCGGAGATTCACCGCAGGTCTTCAAACCCGGCATGCCGACCACCGCTTACGTAAGCATCTATATAATGAATCGAAGAACTCAACTCATCGAGTGCTCTCTTCGCAGATCGTAGCTTCATTCCACGACGGATCGCCTCTCGAGGACTCGAGATTATTGCAGGGTACGATGGAGATTCACACATCTATTGATAGGCATGGCGGGGCCAGACTTGATTTACCGACGCGAACCTTGAAGATGTCCGACGATATTGGTGTCTGGCAATACCACATCGATTTGAAGTACGAGTTGGAATTGGAAGGAGTGAGGAAGGTTAACGAATTGAACGATATAAGTACGCAATTTAAATAATGCAATTTATGTAATTTTATTTACAATTTTCGTGTTTTTTTTTTAGAATCGATACGTATGCAAGCATTCTTCAGAGACGCAGAAGGCGGAAGAGCCGACGCGGATTTGTTAATGTTGACGCATTACAGCCCTGATAATCAACATCTAAAAGTCTCCACCAGCACCATTTCACCAAGAGTATGTTATCTATATATAGTTTTTCTTTGAATTTACTTATTTATTCATCTTTCGCAAAGGTCGGAGAATACATCATTCTGCATATTAGAAGTAATTATTACGTGCCGCGCTTCAACTACATGATTGTGGCCAAAGGAATTGTACTGTTGACTGGGGATGAAGTGATGGAGGATTCGGTTGCTACGATGGCGGTGACATTGAGCGCGGAAATGGCACCTGTGGCCACAGTCGTCGTCTGGCACGTTGGGAAATACGGTGAAGTCACTGCGGACAGTCTGACCTTCCCCGTTAATGGAATCAGCAGAAATCACGTAAAAAAAAACACTGCAAATAAGTAAACAGAATTAGATAATAATATCATGTATTTATTTTTTGTTTAGTTCTCTGTATTCATCAATAACAAGAAAGCCAGGACTGGGCACAAAGTGGAGATTGCTATTTACGGTGAACCAGGTGCTTACGTTGGCCTCTCAGGAATCGACAACGCTTTCTACACAATGCAAGCCGGAAACGAATTAACCTACGCTAAAGTAAGGATTATAAACTAAAAAGAAAATAATTTGCAAATTCTACATTTCTCTATTCGTTTTAAGGTGATCACGAAGATGGCTTCATTCGAAGAAGGAAGCACGAACGGCACGCTTCAGCACACGTGGTTCTCTCACGAAGGAGACCCAGATGAGCTAGTTTACTATCCATCATCGTCTTATGGTATCGACGCGAACAGGACTTTCGCCTACTCCGGTTTAATCGTGTTCAGTGACATCGAAGTACCGCGCCGACGATCTCAATGCGACGAGTCTCTGGGTATGGGAGAGTGCTTGAGCGGACAATGCTATAATATAAGAGGGAAATGTAATGGCATCAGAGATTGCGAGGATGGAACTGACGAGAGTGGATGTAAGTTCGAAATGTTGCTTGCTTTAATTGATGAACTGAATATATCTTTTAAAATCTTCAGGCGTTTACAATAACGGAACGGAAATGCTGTACTTTCGCAAATACCGATTCAGCCGCATCCAGAGGCAATACGAGAACGTATGGCTGTGGAAGGACTGCAACATCGGGCCGCACGGTCGCTTTATTTTCAACATTGATGTACCTGCAAGACCAGCGCATTGGATGGTCTCCGCTTTTTCGATGAGCCCAACCATGGGTTTCGGAATGATCAATCAACCAATTGAGGTATGTTTGCTTCATTTTCTCATTAGATCAAAATCCTGAAAGTATGTAATGCGAATAGCATTGAGTAACGCAATAGAAGTGCGAATAGACAAATAATGAAGTGTATTCAACAACAGAAGTCTCATTAATTCGGCACATCGTAATTTTAAAATAAATATTAGCAATTATTTTTTCATCGGGATTTAGATTTGATTTGATTTTGATATAGACTCATATATAAATTAATTGATTAATTTTTAGTACGTTGGAGTGTTACCATTCTTCATCAACGTGGAAATGCCAACTAGTTGCATGCAGGGCGAGCAGGTCGGCGTCAGAGTTAGCGTTTTCAATTACATGACCAGCCCGATCGAAGCCACCGTCGTGTTAAACGGATCGCCAGATTATAAGTTCGTTCACGTCGAAGAAGATGGAATCGTTGTCGCTTACAATCCTAGGACTACGTTCGGAGAACATCAATTCTTTGTTTATATTAAGGTAATTAGTTAATTATTGTTTAATTCATTTTTTTTGAGAATATTAATGTTTGTAGGCTCAAGACGTCGCTGTGGTTTATTTACCGATTGTTCCAACGAGATTGGGAGATATTGATGTAACCGTGCACGCCACAGCTCTGATTGGCAAAGACCAAATCACCAAAAGAATTAGAGTCGAGGCGGATGGTATTCCGCAGTACCGGCACCAATCTATGCTCTTGGATTTGAGCAATCGCGCGTACGCCTTCCAGTACATGCACGTAAACGTTACAGAAACTCCGATCATTCCATACGAATACGATAGATACTACGTTTACGGTTCTAATAAGGCGAAAGTCTCGATTGTTGGTGATGTGGTTGGGCCTATTTTCCCCACGATGCCGGTGAACGCCACCTCTTTGCTGTACCTTCCGATGGATTCGGCCGAACAGAACATATTCGGATTCGCCGCGAATATGTACACCACTTTGTACATGAGATACGCCATACAGAGGAACAAGACTTTGGAACGCGAAGCGTTCTACCACATGAACATCGCGTACCAAAAGCAATTATCCTTTATGCAACCGGACGGCTCGTTCAGTTTCTTCAGGAGTGATTGGAATCAGTCGATGTCATCGGTCTGGTTGACGGCACATTGCGCCCGAATCTTACAGGAGGCCAGCTTCTACGAATGGGAGAATTACATCTACATCGACCCAGTTGTTATTTCGAAGGCGGTGGAATGGGTGTTGAAGCATCAAGGACCGGAGGGTGCTTTCTACGAAGTCACCTGGTTGGCAGACAGAAAGTACAATAACACGTTCACGTACAGCGAAAACGATCCGTATCAGCACAGAAACATCACGTTGACCGCACACGTCGTCATCATGTTGGAAACGGTGAAAGATCTCTCAAGTAATTATATAGAAATTTAAACGAAAAAGAAGCAATAATTAATCAATTCTTTGTATTTAGGTGGATTAAGTTCGAAAGTGTCGATCGCTCAAATGAAAGCGTTGAATTGGCTGGAGAAGAACATGAAGTTGTTGGAGCAGTTCGGCAATCCCTTCGATATTTCCATCGTAGCTTACGCTTTGATGAAGAGCAAAGCGAATAACGCGGAGACTGCGTTCAACTTGTTGGCGCGCAACGCTCGATTAGAAGGAGGTTTGATGTACTGGTCCAGAGAGCAGTTGCCTCAACCGCCTTACAAGATCGAAAATCAAAAACCTTTCTTGCTACCAAGATTACCCTACAAGTACGATTCAGAGAACATCGAAGCCACCGCGTACGGTCTCATGATATACGTGGCAAGGCAAGAGATCCTCGTAGATAACATCGTGAGATGGTTGAACACGCAAAGATTAACGGACGGAGGTTGGGCCTCCACCATCGACACAGCGCACGCTATGAAGGCTCTGATCGAATACACGGCGGCGCAAAGGATTCGAGATATCTCCAGTTTATCTGTTACCGTCGAGGCTACAGCACTCGCCGGACAAACGAAGGTGCTGCATGTGAACGACAAGAACAGAGCTCAATTGCAAAGCATCGAAATCCCAGAAGCCTGGGGCACAGTCAAAGTGCAAGCTAAAGGTACAGGTTACGCGATTCTTCAGATGAGCGTCCAATATAACGTGGATATAGCTAAATTCCAAACGCAACCGCCGGAACCCGCTTTCGATTTGTGGACCAGAGCTGACTTCTACGGAAGAAATCACTCGCACATTTCCTACTACAGCTGTCAACGTTGGAACAATCTGAATGAATCTGAGAGATCGGGAATGGCTGTGCTCGATATAGCCATACCTACAGGTTACATTGTTCAGCAACAGAAACTCGACGCGTACATCCTGTCGAAGAAAGTTCGCAATTTGCAGAGAGCCAAATTCCTTGAACGCAAAGTCTTATTCTACTTTGATTACGTGAGTTTTATTAACAAAAATCAATGCAACATATATTAATTATTTATTCTTGCAGTTGGACGAGCACGAAACTTGCATTAATTTAACAGTGGAACGTTGGTACCCGGTTGCCAACATGTCCAGATTCCTACCGATCCGCGTCTACGATTACTACGCCCCGGAGAGATTCAACGAAACAATCTTCGATTCCCTGACCACCTACTTGCTGAACATCTGCGAAGTCTGCGGCAGCAGCCAATGCCCGTACTGCTACATCTACAATTCGGCTTTCGCAACGCCCGTTCCATTCTTCACCATATTCTTCGCCTCGTTCTTCGTCGTCTTCAGATACCTCTGGTCACAGAACGCGGCCGTCATTTAAACCGTTCTCGCCCGCGCGCACACCCGTATTTAAAAAAAACACACACAAAACAGACTGTATTTCTATAATTTAACCATTTCTCTTAAGTTTTCTCTGAATTATTATTACTTTGTGTTCATGGAAATAATTATTATTTTTTTTATATATATATATTTTGTGTATTGTATATGTACAGGTAGTACAAAGGATAGATAGTGCCTATTGATGAGAGAGATGAAAGAAAGGAGAGAGAGAGCAGCAGCTTAAAACAAAGAGTTTACCAAACAAATTTACTTAATTTGTACGCCCCAAAGAACAACTCTCTCGAAACTTTAACATAATTTTTGTTTTTTTTTGCACAATTTCCAAAAGGATCCGAATACTCAAATTTCTTTTATTTTATTGAGAAGTTGTTCGTTGGAGTCGGAACTCCGTTTAGTCTCATTTAAACCGTCCAATATATCGTTGAGTCCAACCAAGTTGGCAGAGATATATATATTTTCCTTAGGATTTAAGCGTAAAACCTCTAATATAAATATAAATTACATAAATTCTAATATGTGTAAGTAAAAGTGTTTGATACATGTACAGTTTTTTTTTTTTTTTGGTAGATTTAACTTGTATATTTTCACGAATCAATGTTTTACTTATTTACTACGAAGAAGTTTATTAATATGACAAAAAAGAATTAAACTAAATTAATATGAAAGTTATATATATATTTAGGTCTAAAAATTATTGAAAAAAAAAAATTAAACAAAACGATGATAATAGGATTAAGTAATGTTGATTTAATAAAAAATATTTTCTTTTTCACAAAGTATTTTCAAATTTGTCCCAATAACAAGAATGAATTCTATTCCAAACCAAATATTATGTTGGCAAAAAAATAATTTCGTTTTTTGACTCACAAATGAATTGAAAAAGATTCACTTAACAAAACGAATCAACATTTGAAATATCCATCTGAAATCGTCACTTTTTTTTAAACAAATCATAACAAGTAATGAAAAATGGATCATCTATACTAACATTAATCTAAAACGATCATGATCCAAGCGTGATGAACCAGCTCAAACCAAATCGAAAGTTAAATTTCATAAAAAAAAAGGATCTTACTATCAATTTGGTGGAATTGCAAAGATGTTGTGTATTTTGAGCTGCATCCAAGGAACCAAACGATCAAATCAGATGTTTACTTTCAACAACCAATTAAACTGGAGGAAGCAATCAAAGAAAAATGACCAGAATTGACAAAACGTGTTTCCTCAAATCAACGCAAATCGTCACACATCTTTGGTAACTCGTGGGAAATTATTGCAGCTTACTTGGAAAGGTATCTCGTATATAGTCCTTGTACCATCAGATTACCATTTAGTTTGCAAAACTCTTTGAATGGTAAAACTTTCACTAAATTTCGGATTTTTGCTGATAATGTTGCGAGAAACATGATAAAATGTCATCGAACAAAATGGAAAATATATAATTGATTACAGTTCATTATTTGTATACAAAAAAAGTTTTATTTTACACTAAGAAACAATTATTAATAAGTTTTTGGGCATAGACTAAATAAAACGTATATTTTTTCATGCATTCTTTAATATCTTATAAAAAAAAGATAAGTGTAGCAGACTGGTGTAATGGTATATTTTGAGAATCTAAAGCTAACAGAATGATTTCAACAACGAAAAGAAAAAAAAACCTTAACTACTAAAACTAATTCTGTTTCTGCTAATTTTTTTATGATGAAAACGAAAACAAATTATATACTTTTAAGTAAATACAAGATTCGGGTGTCGGTAGGTAATGGTTATAATAGAATATATTTTTGAATAATTACAGCAACTAAGCGCACAATTCTATTCACACGTAGACTTTGCTTCTTCATTTAGTTTTTTTTTTAATAACTAAGTACAGATAATACATACTTTAGTTGCATGATATTAAGAACATCATGCAATAATTTGCATTGCAATTACATAGTTTTTTTTATATATATATATAGAAAATTAATCTAATTTCCATTGCTGTTAACATTCTGATGAATCAAAGAAATTTAACATTTTTTCAATACAATAAGAAATAATAACCAAACAATTTCCTCTCCAACCCAAAGTGTAAATACTGAAATAATTTTTCAAAACCCTAAATTGAATGAATGAAAAAAAAAACAATTAACACAAAGACATGATCTAAACATAGGATTTCTCTCAATCCTCCTTCGAACTCAAAAATTAAAAATAATAATTATATATATATATATGTGTGTGTATAAATCTATATACATATACAATCAGTCAATTTTAAGACACAATCTTTGGCTGATTACAACTTTATTTTCATTTTTTTTTCACTTTAATTTAGAAACTATAATCATTATTATTTACTAAACAGACTCAATAACAATACGGTAAATCGACGCTACCTTAAAAATACGATAATATGAATAACTATAAACGTAATTAATTAAAGAACAAACAAACAAAATAATAATATAAATCAATATCACACAGTTTTTCTTTCTAACATCATCTTCTCCTCAATATTTCTTTCAACTTCACCTCAAGTTTCACTCAGTCTTCGCTTAATAAATCACTTAAAAACTAAATAAATGAAGTACATTTAGTGGCGACGAACATTTCCACTCGCTAAATTAAAAATTGAATCTCAAAAGGTTAAGTTTTGTTTGCTTTTCTTTTGTTTCTTCCTCTTCTTTTGAACAATTCGGTATACACGTGTGATGTTTTTATTATTTATTTATAATTCATTTTCTCGTTTCATCTAAAAATATAGGTTTCTTTTGTTGCTTTCTTCATCTTCATATATTTATATATAAATATTATTCTCGTCAATATTATTAAAAAATAGTAATAAATAAAAAGGAACTATATGATATTTTCTCTTCTCTCTCAGGTGTTTTTTTCACAATTGTCCAAAAAAATTACGTTTTCTACACGCTCGAGTTACCACAAAGCTTCGAATCAATCACGAGTTTTGTTGCTCCTTTTTTTCTTTTAATGCGTATTTTTAATTATGTAATATTACGGAGAAAAACGAAAGCAAAAAAAGTTTACATTGAAATTCAATATTACGCTTCTCTGTTAAGTATAATCATTATATCTAGACGCTTTCGTAGCTCGTTCCTTCCTTCTTTACAATTATTTTATTATTAACATCAACGATAGTAGTTTTCATTATTATTGTAATATTGTTGTTTTTTTTGTTATTGTAATTATTTCAACTGTGCGTTTCGGTGCTCGAATGCTGCTTATCGATGTACCTTTTCCTCGCGGTCTGTATCAGATGTTCCATCCGCTTATGCAGTATCCGTTCGCGTTCTTCCGGTGATTTTGAAAATCTTCCAGCCACGTTATCCTCCCTACAAAATGCACCACATGAGAAACCACAACTAGAAACAACCCGGAAATCGCATTGTAATTACGTTTCGACGGGATTCGCAGCCTCCCATCTGGTCGACGAAGATGAAGAAGGGGCGGACGGTGATGGTACAGAAGATTGCGGCAGAACGGTCGAACTTGATGGCGACGAAGCGTGGTCGTTCCTCTCGTGGAAGATCGAGGGAGCGACTAGGCGACCGTCCAGCACATTCTCGATCGTCACCTCCACGGATCTGGTGTTGCGCAGATCGTCGACGATCGTGGATAATGGTAAATTTGGGAAGAGTTGCTGCACCTGTCTACCCATCGCGTCGAGCTGAGAGTTCTGCACGTCGCTGGTACGCATCAACTGCGGTGGTCTCACCTCCACGAAGAAGCTGGGCAGCCACGACACGTACCTCGACCCTAAAATGTTATCCAGCATATCAAAAGTACGCACAATGAACATTATGCTTTCGGGACTACCATCGAAGTGAAAGAAGTGGTTCAGTTCTCTTCGGATCGGCTGCTGATTGTCTTGCTGCAGATCGTGCGGCGGTGCATCCATGCGAGACGACGACGGGTTTTGGATGCTCAGCGCAAAACGGCACGTCGGACACGACGTATCCTGTTCCAACCACGATTGAAGACAAGTGCTGAAATTTAAAATACACATTGTAATCAATATGTTCCCTTAATTAACCCTCTAACTCAGGCTAGACAGCACTAAACGAAATATTATTGGTACAACTACAAGCATTATCAGCACTATTATTGTAAATAAATGACTTACTTATGAAACAGATGACCGCAGGGTAGTTTTCTAGCGCAGTCCATGTTCTCCCAGCAGATCGCACAGTTATCGGAGTTCTCGGATAGCTCTTCGGACGACGCCATTGGGTAACTGTCGATTTAACAAACTGATATGAGCGCAAATGAATAATATAAAATTATTATCGATCAATCCCAACTGGATACATAATAAATGGATGGATGGATCGAAGACTCTGCACGTGTGACCTGATGTCGACCTGGTAACTTACTTTTGCTCCAGATGGTTGCGTACCCATAGGTAATTCCTGTGCTTCTTGATGCGACGCTGCATCTCCTGGAAGAGGTACCTCAGCTGCATGCATATGACGAGGCTGGCCATCGATAGGAAGATGTTGCTCCATAGCAGCATGTGGATGTGATGGAGGAAATCGATGCTGAGCGCGCTCAGCTCGAACACGAGCTCCGTGTAGTATGTGATGGGACCGCGTTTCTCCCACACTTTCTCGGACCCTGACGGACTCGTCGGATTTACGCCGGAAGCATCTTCCGTACGGATATCGTACAAGTGGAGGCCGTATCTCAAGATGACATGAAGCGTCCTTATACTCAACAGAATCACCTACAACACAATGCGAAGTTACATTAAAATCAAAATATTCGCATGAATTTCAATTGCAAAGTCGGAATTATATTGATTGTAGTTTTGTCGGAAAAACGTCTTTTTCCTATTACGTAACCTTTGTTTCAAACAAAGTTACGTAAGGCTAGCGCCCATCTTACACAGTCATGAAATGCAATAAAAGTTTATTGGTTTTCGTGTTATTAATGAAAATCCTTTTTTTCGATCAAACAGCGATTTTGAAGAAAATCCTATTCAGTTTTTCTTCAATTCCTCCAGCTCTTAGCAGGCGACTCGGCGATAGAACAAAGATGCCAATAGGCTCGTTAGATAGGAAGAAGAAAATCCTATTAACATTTTTTTTCAATTTATCCAGGTCTAAGCAGGCGACTCGGCTTCAGCATGAAAATGACAATAGGCTTGTTGGAAAGGTGTGGAGTGGTCAATCATTTCATCTTAATTGTAGTTGTAGAGAAACTCACGAAATTTCTTTCTGGTATTTCACTGATAATGTGCTTCCTGGATTGATAATAACACAACCTAAATGCAGTTTTCTCTTCATACAACAACACTCTCGGTAATGACGGACGCACGTTTGCATATAATTACAATTAACGTTGCCCATGCACAAAATTAAAGATAATTTCATCGAAATTACTGTTTATATTCGTTTGATTATTATTTAAGTAAAAAAATGTTGTATATACACGTAATTTCGCGACGCACGCTGCACGATGAAAATAAAATCTTGGCGTTGACTTTGATCTAAGAATATACACATGCACTTCTGCATAGACATGACATGAGAATATATTTAGTAAGGGAATTTCGTCTTGTTGTTGTTTTTTTTTGGTTGTTGGTGAAAATCGTGAAATATTTTATGCATGCAGTTCGGAGATAGCGAACATTCCGCACATTCTTAAAGCTGCGGTTTACCTTCAGACCAAACATTGCAACGTAATCAACAGTGAAGAAGAGAGGAATTTTCTAATCATTAAAGTCATATTTATATTTTTATAGTGATTAAGACATTTTATAACGATAGTTAGATACAAAAGAAGATACATTGATGTAATTCACGTTTTAAAAAATTATAGTGTCTTCACATTTGAGTGGTTTTCTCGAAAAATATAATAGATAGATTGAATCTATAAGATGCATATAAAAGTTGGATAGTAAGTATATAATATATGCGTAGTTACATTCATTTGACTGTAAATCGCATTGAAATAATGAAAAAAGTAAAATAAAATCTTGGCGTTGACTTTGATCAAGGAATATACAGTCTGCAGTTCTGCATAGACTTGAAATGAGAATATGTTTTGTAAGGGAATTTCTTGTTTTATTTTGGTGAAAATCTCAAAACATTGTAATCAATCAATGTAATCAATCTTGTATACGGTAATGCGAAGAAGCGAGGTAATTTGTGATCTTTAAAATCAGTGAGTAAGAAATTTTATAATAGACGTCTTGAACGTTCGGTGTCGTTTAAATAACGTGGATTTCTCGTAGAAATGATAGGAGTAAATCGCTGTGAATGCAATTCAATTCCTTAGTTTACTCACCTCAGCGGACATGAAGGCAAATGTATTGAATCCGATAAAGTACCCGACGAAGATTGCGACGAGCAGCATAAAACTTGATATGACGAAGATTCCTGTCAGCAAACCCATCAACTTCACGTGGCTCCAAATCGGTGTCGAAGCGGAAAAGGAGAGCTACAAAAAAAAAAGTATCAATATTAAAAGTAAATGCGCGGATGTTTGTTGTTGACTTACATATTCGAACCGGTCCTTCGCGAGTTGCGCAATCAATTGCAGGAAACCGAGCAGGGCGAACCACGAGCACCAGAGCAGAACTTCCTCGACGTACTGCACGTTAATCACCCCGAAAACAAAGATGAATTTGTAAAAGACAAAGTTCCAGAACTTGTCTTTTAGATGCTGGTGCTCGGAGACACGTAAATCACCGAACACCATCCTCTGGATGCAACGTCCCACCAGGATCAGCCAGCAAATGGCCATGTTTATCAACACCTAAAAAAGAAAGTAACATATATTATTAAAACAATTCACACTGAAAACGTCTTATAAATCAATTCAAAACTTAACATAAACATTCACAATAAAAATGCAAATGCAACACGCAGATTCTTATTATATTTCAAATGGTACATCGCGCGATTTTTGATGTCAAGAACGAACAAGTTGGCCGCCCTCGTTCTACATAGATTCATCGTGCCAGTAGATTAAAAAAAAATGAGTGTTCAAAAATGCATAATAAATACTAATTCACATAAAATGCATACATGAATGAATTAATATTTGATAATAGAATTATGTATTCCCACAATTATCATGCAACGGAATTGACGCAATTTCGCCGTATGTTGTGAACATTCCAATATAATTTCAAAACTGAAAACAAAAAAAAAACAACAAACATTTGATTATTGCTTTTATTTCGTTTTGTTACAGCAAACTTAGATTATTTGCAAATCGATTGAGTTGGAAACGGTTTGCTCTCGGATGAAGCACTTTCTACGAGCGCAGTCACACTTTCCTTTGCGATATTACAGAACTGCTACAAGAAAATATAAATAGGACGGTTAGAGCATACGCCAAACGTTCCATTTTCGAAGCAAAAGTGAAGTTTCTATTATGCAACCGTTTTTATTATTTTTTTTCATCTCTCTGAATATATATTTTTTTGCTCGACCTACTTCGCGTATGAATGGACCGACCGAGAGGTGAAAATTTCGTTGTTCTCGAGCAGGCAGGCAGGCGTTTGCTTCAAGTGTCTTTCGAGATAAATATGAAATTCCGCCTTCGCGTCAGGATTATTTCCTGGAGAAAGGATGTGCAGCGTTTGCACAGCTTTCTTCTACGGTAGGCAGAGGCCGGCAGGATAATCGATTTCAAAGCGAGCGAGTGCACGAAGAAAAATAAAATATAAATAATGCACAACGATCAATTTATAGGAACAATAAGCGATATATAAATTAAATCAATGGCCAATGCAATGTGCATCCAATTACAGTTGTGGTTTCATCCATTTGGCTGTAAATCACTTTCAGTTTAAATAATGAAAAAAATAACGTTCGAAAAGCAGTCTTCACATTTTAGTCATTTTCTCGGAAATTGCAAAAGATATATTGAATCCAAAAGATGCACAAGAAAGTTGGATAGTTGGGGATTATAGTGAGTATTCAAATATTGGTGTGGTTGTACCCGGTTAACTGTAATTCGCGTTCAAAATTGAAGTAATGGAAAAAAATATCGTTCGAAAAGCAGTCTTCACATTTTACTCATTTTCTCGGAAATTAGAAAAGATAGATTGAATCCAAAAGATGCATATAAAAGTTGGATAGTTGAGGAATATAGTGTGTATTCGAATATTGGTGTGGTTGTACCCGGTTAACTGTAATTCGCGTTCAAAATTGAAGTAATGGAAAAAAATAGCGTTCGAAAAGCAGTCTTCACATTTTAGTCATTTTCTCGGAAATTACAAAAGATAGATTGAATCCAAAAGATGCATATGAAAGTTGGATAGTTGAGGAATATAGTGTG